CTCTTCCCTCTCTCTCTCTCTCTCTCTCCTCTCTCTCTCTCTCTCTCCCCCCCCAACTTCTGCTCCTGTGCCACTCCCTGTAAAAAGCCTTCCTCAAACCTTCCCGCCCATCCCCAAGTGCCATCCTGAAGTGCACACCCGAACCTGTACCCCTCTGACCACTCTGTTTAGGTGTGGCCCTGGGTTACCTCTCCTGCAAGTCTGGGGGCTTCCTGAGGGAAGAGCTGGCCCTAAACCACCTTCCTGAGACCCCAGTATCTGACCATCAAAGGTTAGTGAAGAAATAAAACATGTCAGGGGAGGAAGGAGGCTACCACCATGGCAAGTGAACCTCGTTTTAAGGAATCTATATGCATGAAAGTCTGGATTTGCTCAAAAGTCGGTTAGAATGGAGTCTACCCTCTTATAGGTGAAAGTTAAGTGATATAGAGCAGGAGGGCAGGGCCACATGTATTGAGTGCCTACTGTGCACAGTCTGGGAGTCATCTTTGCAGTCCCAGGGAAGGTGCCCACCTCCCACTGACAGGTGAGGAACCAAGGTCCTGACCCATCCCACCTCAAACCACATATATTGCTACGGTCCTGTGGAGCCCAGATGCCCAAGCCCAGGCTCCTTCCTGAGGGCCAGAGCACCACTGCCTCATGCCCTGACTCCTTTGCACATGTCCCTTCTGCTCAAGGCTCCAAGCTCCCCATAAGGATCTGGACAGTGTTGGACTGAGTCCCATGGTCCCTCTCCTTATTGGAGAGACTCTTCAAAAGTCCACTAGGGGGCAGGCAAGTTGTTCTAGAGAGAAGCAGATGCCAGTGTACCTTCAGCCCTCTGTAGCCATAGGCTCAGTAGGCTCAACTGTCCCTAGTTGTCCTGGCTTGGGGATATACAGGCTTGGGGGCTCACTCTGAGGCATCTTTCTTGGGGAATCTCCCTGACCACTGAAGGATGGTGAAAGGACAGCAGATATCAGTGTCCTATCACCACCTAAAAGTCCTGGACTATGTCCTGGACATGTGTCAAAGCGTTTGTCTACCCTTTAACCATTTACATTTTCTACTAACACCATCCTCAGCATGCTTTCCTGGGCACTGGCTCATGTGGCCTCCCATACCTTTTCCTGGGAGACAGGTGTGAATGTTCCCAACCACAGCCAAGAAAGAAAGGCTTTTTCCAGCTGTCCTCTTCCACAGATGACTTAGTCCTTCCTCCTGGGCTCCAGATACAGCATCTCTGATCTGTGGGTGCCTCCCTGGTGAGCCCCAGATCTCCTTGACAGTGCTCAGCTTGGCTGCCTGGCCCTGAATGGAGTGACAACTCTCTGTTCCCTGTCCCTCCCATGATACTTTACCCCGCTCACATTCCAATCACCCAGTCCCAGTTAGCCTGACATCATGGTCTCTGCATTTTTTTTTTTTTTTTT